ATTTTACTTGGTGAAGATAATTAATATAATTAATATAATATTGAGAATTAAAGTGTTAACATTATAATTTATTTTTATACATTAATATTTTAATGATCGGCAGCCAAAAAATTATCCACTGTATCATAGTAAAATTTGCTTAATTTTGATTTAATTAGACTGTAACACTATTATTTTCTTCTTGAGAATTATTAAGAGGAACAACAGAAGGTGGAGAAAAAGCAGGAGGGGTGGGAAGAGAAGAAGCAAAAGGAGGGGAAACAAGAGGAGGGGAAACAAGAAGAAAAAGAACTTTTATAGTTCCTTGCAAATTCTTCATAGTCATAATTGTTAACATTTGTGAAATTTTCTTTTGGTTTTTATTATTATTTACTATACTCTTGTGTCTTTCTTGACACTGGTGTTATATAGTCTCTTTGATAGTTGTCTGTCTGTCCCTTTTGTGAAAATACTTGTTGGATTATGTGTGGAACATAACTTGCAATACATTAATATCTTGTTGTTTATTGTTTTGAATTCAAGCCAGTCAAATTATTTTAACCAGTCTGAGTCTGGTTTTGGCATTGAAATGTTACTGTTTTCTCCATTACTAGTAACTCCTTTGGCACATCAATCAGAAAATCCTTGGGCTTGGTGGGAAACAAGGAAAAATGAGTTTCCAATTCTTTCAAAAATATCCAGAAATATTTGTCAATGCCAGCAACATCTATACCTGCTGAAAGGCTTTTCAGTGATGCTGATAATCAAATAAATCCTAAGCATACATGTTTAGCACCTAAACTTGTTAATGAGCTTTTATTTTTGAAAAGAAATAATCCTTATTGTGAGATTGGTTTTGACTAAATAAATTTAGATTAAATGTCAATTAAATTCCTATCATAACCATTAGAATCTATCTACAAAGTGTATAATAATGAAATTCAGGCACATGATTATTTTGTAATGAACAATTGAATTTACCAATTAAAATTTTTCACATGATTAAATTAATTTGAATCTTTTTTTGATATAAACAATAACAACAATTCATCATCATCATTGATATCAATATCATCATTGTCATCAATTTCATCATTATCAACATTATCATCAACATCATCATCATTAACACAATCAAGAATGATTCATTGATCTATGAATAATTTTATAGATCAAATTTCAAAAAATGAACATGAAGAATTAGAATTATTGTTTGCAAGATCAATTTATCAATGTGGTCTGTACCTTTCATTATCTGAATTAAGACTGATGCAAGATTTATGGAGGAAAGCACACCCAGCCTTTAAACTGCCTGGAAGGAAAAAATTGTCAACTACATTGCTAGATCAAGTGCTTGAAGAAACACAATTGGCAACAAGAAATAGCATTAACAATGCAGAATATAGTAAATTTATTATATATAGTGCAGGACACCTAGTCCCACAACTTTTTATTGGTCTTGTATATCATTTAGTATACCAGAAATGGAAATGTAACACCAAAAAAACAAAACATGATTTGAAGCTCCACAAAGCTACAATTTCATTTTGTTGATATGTCACCATGGAGATATCAAGCCTCAAAGTTGCACAAGTTTACTATGTTAAGCCCAAAACTGTCGCATTATACATGATTTATATATATATAAAAATGAACAAATTGAAACAAAATAAAAGTTTTTGAATTTTTAGTTGATGATCACATCCATATTAGGTAACCCAATGTTTATTCTTATTGCCGATTTTACTATTTATGGAATGACTAGGAAATATCACATGACAAAACAATTTTTATTGCATTTTTGATTGGAAATTTTTTCCCAAAATTCGTCGTCGTGGCGCAGTAAGTTGCGGGATTAGGTGTCCTGCACTGTACTAATTATTTGTTTTAAAGGTCCAACTTGGTGCAGGAACATTGGACAAATTTCATTTTGGCAATTCTCAAACCAATTTTCTTGCAAGCACATCCAACTGGTGAAGTGAAACAAAATGCTGAAAGTGTTGCTGCTGATTTGGAGAGTGTAATACAAACCATTGATATTAGTAAACTTTCAGCTATAATAACAGATAATGCTCCTGTTATGAAAAAAGCATGGAGAATTTTAGAAAAAAAATATTCTAATTTAATATTTTTGGGTTATATAGCTCATAATATAAATCTTATAATTCATGATATATTTTTTGCATAGATTTTTTCTCATCGGCTTTTTTTTTTAGGTCCAAGCTCAATTTAAAACAAGCTATTGATTATGTTGATCAATCTTGGTCTGGTGTAACAACTACAACAATAAAAAACTGTTGGGGCAAGACAGGTATTCTCCCTGGTGGCCAAAATTTACAAATGAATTCAGTGGTGAATGAAGATGATGAGTTTACCAATCCATTTAATAATCCATTAACTGATGATAATAATCAACAAGCATTGGTCCATCATGTTGAAGAATTCATTATTGCAATTGATGAACCACTTGTAACTGAAGATACTCTTAGTGATATAGAAATTGTTGAAATGGTTTTAGAAGATGCACTTAAAGAACACCTATCAGAATTAAATGAATATTTTGTTGAAAATTTTCATAACTATACAGCTGGCAAAAATTTTAATAAGAAAAGATGAAATTCAAATTTTATGGATCCATTTATAACTAAAAAAAATTACCCATTAAAAAAAAAGAGTCTTGATAATATGGTTAAGAAGTCAGCTCTATTTCTAATTGAATTTTTTCAAAAATATTAACTAATCTAAATACATCTAAAAAAATACCAAAATTAGAGATGACAAACTCTATTTATTTCCAACATTCAACATACAAAATGCTAGCACACATTTAAAGTTAATAACACAATAATGTACATATTAATAATTAAATAAAAACTGCCATTTCGTAGCTTAGGTTCACCAAATTATATGTGCAAGGTTTTACATCTCTAGCATTTTCATTATATCAATGGTTAAAAAAATAAAATTTCAACTAAAATATTTTTGACAAAAATGACTGCTTCAATATTTACATAATAATCATATCTGAAATTTTAAAATTTAATAAACAAAGTAATAGTTAATTCAATATTTTGTTGGCCACCCATTGTTTTCAATAACTGCTTTAATCCTCCTTGGCATGCTCTCAATCAATTTTATTAGGACATTGTCTGTAATGCTATTCCATTCTTCTTGCAACACAGACTCCAACTCATTAATGTTTTTAATATTTTTAGGGAACCTTCTTATTCTTCTTTCCAATTCTGACTATAAGTGCTCAATTGGATTCAAGTCAGGGGACTGACTTGGCCAATTTTGTAATATTTTAATATTATTTGCAGTGTGCCAATTTTCAACAATTTTTGCTGTATGAACTGGGCATTGTCATCTTGAAATAAACAGCCCTTTCTATCAAAATCTTTATCAATTAGTGGTAGCAAATGACTTTCAAGTATTTTTATGTAGCCAATGCTTTTCATTTTACCCACAACTTTTACTAATGGACCTAAACCTTTTCCCAAAAAGCAACCCCACATCATTAAACCTCCACCTCCAAATTTTATAGTAGGTGTCATGTTTTTGACATTAAATCTGGTACCAGGAGTTCTCCAAACACATCCTGGTTCATCATTTTTATATATTGTAAACCTACTTTCATTACTAGGGTTTGTATTCATGAATATCATAAGGGGGTCACACAGGGTCACACACTATTATATAAAATCAAGTGATCAACTCATGTTTTTAAGGGATTTTTTGCTGTTTAATAGTGTGTAACCCCCTTAATGATATTCA